CCGACTGGCGGCCATTTTGTTTTAAAGAATTCAGTTCTGGATCCGTATCCGAGACATGTCTGGATTGATCAAGTTCAAACTTCACACACACAAGGTACATCATGTCACAAATATGTATGTGCATTTGTTTCATGATCTCATTAACGATAGCCAAATGGGGGCCGCTTTAAGGCCGAAAATGCATTGAAATCGCACATTTTCACCATTCCGGACCCGTATCTCAGTTATGCATGGATGGATTTTGTTCAAATTTGGTACATACATTAAACATAATAGGACCTTGATGCACGTCTTTTTTTTTCGGATCAAGTTCGAAATGGCCGACTGGCGGCCATTTTGTTAAAGAATTCAGTTCTGGATCCGTATCCAAGACATGTCTGGATTGATCAAGTTCAAACTTCACACACACATGGTACATCATGTCACAAATAGATATGTGCATTTGTTTCATGATCTGCTTAACAATAGCGGAATGATGGCCATTTTAAGGCCGAAAATGCATCAAAATCACGTATTTTCACAATTCCAGAACCGGATCTCAGTCATGCATGGATGGATTTTGTTCAGATTTAGCACAATGTGTTGTACATATGCAGGTGCATTTCGGTCATGATCTGCTTTGAATGTATATGTCACTCAAATATGAACGGAACGGGAACGTGTCATTGACAATGACTTGTTACTCTCTCTTTTCAGCGTGTTGTTAACCAGTGCACTTGGAAACCTTTTAGGACAGTGGACAATTCCAGCATTTAACCTGCCATTCAACATCGCAACGTTTTTGTTTATAGCCGGCACTGGTCCATATAATGCGCATTTTGCCCAGGCGTCGGGTGTTTCCCCGGACATGTGGGAAGGCCACTCACTTGATTGGATTGAGGTGAGCGTTATATACAAAGTACGAGTATTCGTCTACGATAACATGCGCTGAAGTTCCATACCATGCGTCATACGTATTATTAATGCAAACGAGTCAGTAGAAGTTGGCGGAATACTTTACCATCACAAAGTTCCGCGGACTCATTCAGTTTCATCGTGTCCATACATGCAAATTAGTGTTTACCTTTGCTTATACCTTATATCTACTAATTTTGTTATTTGTTATGGTTGTTTGTATTTATTGTATTCTAAATGCTTCGTGATATGTACAACAACAATTTGAATCGCCAAATAAGTAATCAATGAGCCTCTGATTGATATGCCACTGCAGGAAATAAGCCAAAAACCTCAGACTCAAATGGCTGCTGAAATCAGGTTGAAAGCCATGCGATTTTGCCCCTCAAATTTCGTTGAGAACAGTTCGATTTACTGTATGTTATTGTTAGCAATGTTATATTAGTATTTACTTCGTATGGTTCATATATTCTCTAAATTCATTCCTTTAATTTCGAGGTGCTTCTCATTTCACTGTTTAACGTGCATTGTCATTGTACACAAACACAATACTTATACAATGAGTAATCTCTCACGCATTGTTGCGGACGTGAGAGAGAATATCACACCAGCTCATTAGAAAGTATGGCGAGTTTTTGAGGGTATATAAGTAGCGGTGTTTTCTGCCTTCGCTTAGTTGTTACTTTACCGTTATTTTGTATTCGCGCTCTTTTAATTAAGAGAAGCCGACTGTGTTACGTTATACCGCTGGTCATCGTCATCATTTGGTTCTGATTACCGTCTTCTACGTCTCGTCGCCCAGTAATATGTTCGAACTAAGCGTGGAGAGCAATTATCAAGACTCTCTCTCTCTATATATATACATACGAACCAATAATATCTATAATACGGTAATAAATATGCGTGTGGCGGTGATCGTTACGCTACGCATCTGTGACATTTGTGTTGATAAACATCGATTTTCCCACAATCCAATGCCCTCTTCTAATGGAAAATCCCACGTATAAGGTTTGACCTGGGCTCAACGTGTACTAATTACCCACCGGCGACTTTTTTGATACCTTCCAATCGCATAATGAATACCTAGTTAAGGCTCAGTAACGTCTCAGTTTGTACTCGTTGATCTGCGCATGGAGGTATGTTTCTACAACAGTTAAGTCACCATCTGAGTCCATATGAGTCCCATATCTCGTGCATGCGTTGTGCAATGGCAACCGCCCTTTAAATACTAGTAGCAGAGTTTATGAGTCAGTTAGGCACATAATGTATCTCCATACGTATAGTGATATCTTAATAGAGTTGCTGTTTGTCGCCTTCACGCATGAATTATTAGAACCGAATTTGAGCTCCACGCTTTCACTGAAACGCTGCCTCCATTTGCTTTCATTTAATACTATATTGCGTGTGAAAATCAACACTTGAGTAGCGCCGGCAGTATTCAGTAAGGCGACACGCGTCATGCTGTTATTATGCTGATATTACTGAGTGTGCTGTTCATTAGGGATTTTCCACTTCTTACTTTTCAGTAACAGAACGCCCTAGTATCCACAGTTGATTGGTAATTACTATGTATGTATTTTCAGTGTATAACAACATTTATTAACAATACAATAAAAATAGATTCCCATCCAATTCTTTCATGCAGTGAAATTAATAACCATGCCCGCATTAGACATTGAAATGTGTGCCCATGCAATACAATGTCTTGGGGGGAAATTAACATGTAAAGCTTTGTTCTGACTTGTGATTGGTGGTTCCTATTTTTGAGTGCATATCTGCTTTAAGCATCAGGAGTACGTTGTGAAACGCTTAACTTATCATTTTAAGCTCAAGGACTGGTGTTATTTTTAATTCTCTTTTTGTAATTTTTTGCAGATTCTGAAATCAATCCCCCGTGGTATTGGTCAGTGTTATGCTTGCGACAACGTCATATCCGGCTCTCTCATCACCTTTTCCATGCTCGTCTGTTCACCTATTATATTTGGGCATGCGCTGTTGGGGTCGTTGTTAGGAATATTCACAGGTCGGTTTGTGTTTTTTGCAAAACAGTGTAGTGAAATGTAGTGTAGTGTAGTACGGTGTAGTGTAGTGTAGTGCAGTGTAGTGTAGTATAGTCTAGTCTAGTCTAATCTAGTCTAGAAGAGTCTAGTCTAAATGACTACAAGTTTGGCGGTTTAGAGTCTGTATACAAAGACTGAATTGCAGCAATATCGGATGGTTTGAGCAATTAGTCACATGACTTACTGAGAGTTTTAAATAAATATGTATATATAGCTGATACATGTATTACATAGAAACTGTATATAACGTGAGTATTCCTGTTTTGTTTTATAGGAATGGCTTTAGCTGTACCGCCTTCACAAATATACGCCGGTGAGTGGGGATACAATGCGATGTTGAGTTGTTCGTGCATTGGTGGTTTCTTTTATGTATTGACTTGGAGATCTCATTTATTAGCACTGTTTTCAGGTGAGGTTATTTGACTTACTGATACTATCAGTGTCCTTGTGTGTGTGTCTTAAATATAGGAAGGAGTACGATGTATTAAAATTTTCATCCATTGACAAAATAATGCTATAAGAATGATGTATTACACGTTGCATTTGTATCCCTAGACAAAGGGATGAAGTGAGCACGGTGTATTTGCGTCATATTTGTATTTTTGGGCACATGTATACAATGAGCGTGACGATATGAACTCACACTAATAGAAAAAGTGCAAGTAAAATAACTTACAAAGTCTTATACACATTTCACTGCCACTGCATTTACGTCCAGCCTATTTTTCCGGTATTCTTCTAACATATATGGTATTATATGACGTTTGTCATTAGACAGTAGTGCATTAACTAAACTACGCAACAAGACTAGATCATATCGTGATTGTGCATTTTAATATAAAATTTTAATATATTTATTATTTTAACATTTCAAATTCCATAATCTTGTCAATACACCATTCAGAATCACATACATCATTGGTGAAGGCACAAGAAAAACCTAATACTAGATTTTACTTGTGTGTTTGCTTCTTCTAATAGTATTGATAGACATTTATATTTTATGATGCGCATAAAGCGCGACAAATTTTCTTTATACTGATATCATCATTCTTACTGGTTTTACCTTCAGCCGTGTTTGCGACTGCTGTGTGTGCAGGCATGGTGGGCATGTTGACACCGTTACCAGTTCTGGCGTTTCCATTCTGTATAGCCTCGGCAATGAGTCTGCTGATGACAAGTGAGAGTAAAAACCTCATCAGAGTGCCGCTGAGTACAATCACCTACCCAGAGGAACATCGGCGGAAGTTTAAACCGAGTAATGTGGCAGTACACGACGTAATAACATAGAGGTAACCCTGCAAATGTGTGGGAAGTCAATCCATATCACGGACTTTGCCAATCGTTGCCAAGGACATGACGTCACAGTCACAGTCAGCTGGCGCGCACGTGATAATAAAATAAATGCGATATATACTATATGGGGGGGGGCACCATCTTGAATGCGGCATAAAACTAAATATGATACAAGTTGTCTCTCATTTAGTTTTATGCCGCATTCAATATGGCGGCCCCCATATAAGTAAATATCGCATTTATTTTATTATCACGTGTGCGTCAGCTGACTGTGGTCACAGTAGTCTGAATCAGATCACTTTATAACAAGTCTTTATTAAATGTTGATATTTTTATATATTACCTTTTTCAAATGATATTCATGTTACATTATGGATAAAATACAAATTCGCATTTTTTTATTTAGTATGTAGTTAGTGAGTTAGTAAAATGGACGTGGATTTCAACGGAGCGATACAAGAGTGTAGATGGTTAGTCGGTTCATTACACATAATTAAGCAATCCGTCTGTACAGTCAACGCCAAGGACACTGAGAAATTCTTAGTTATAGTTTTTACAATGAACTGAACACCATGACCATTCAATGGTGTAAATATAACTTAAATGTTCAGACGTGTCAGATAGACGTTACATATCTTGACACAACAATGTACCATGGAAGCATTTGATAGAGTGTGTTATTTGTTTTGGGCTAGTTAAACCAATTATCAATCTGCTAATAACTGACGGGCGAGCGTTGCTATATTAGTCCAACAAGTGATCTAAGAGTACTAGTATTATTATACATGTACTGACAATCAGACGCGAACAAACTGAGTAAATTGTACATACTTTAGTGACGAATTATAATCAGTTTTCGATTTAAACTTATATCACATGAGGAGTTTCACATACAATGACGTGGTTTTACACGTGTGTATTCAGTGTGCAGTATTTCACGCAGATTTTTTATATGGCAGAGCAGAACTGAGGACTAAGCAGATGTGGCGCCCTCTATCGAGCCGCCTGGTGACAGTAAATGGTTGATTTGGTTAAAGCATAGCCCAAATTATGTTTTATATCTTTACTTACATTATAAATTATAGATATATTGTTTTTATCTACACACGGGCATTTGTTGGTACAAGGGTCCATCCAATGCTGTTTAGTATAACCAAAGTCATTGTCATAATTGTATCCCTATTTATTTATTTATTTATTTATTTATTTATTTATTTATTTATTTATTTATTTATTTATTTATTTATTTATTTATTTATTTATTTATTTATTTATTTATTTATTTATTTATTTATTTGTTTGTTTGTTTGTTTGTTTGTTTGTGCTCAATGTTACCAGGTAATTTAGAGGTTTATCCACATTCACAGCTAAACCTGACATTGTAATAATTTTATACCTGTACTGACATTTCATTAAATTTACTCTATATTGTCTATGTATGACTGTTTTGTTCATTGCTGCATCATAAAATAGCTTATTGTTGTCGGTTTCTATTGCACATCATATCATCTTCATTCAACTGACATGCAGACAAGATGTCGTCTATGATCGCGAGACTTTGACAATCGGTCTGAAATGATGTAGGAAAGCCTTTCCAACATGCCAGTTTGTACATGCGTGTTCCCATGGTAATGTATTGAAGTAATGGAAACAGCCGTTTAGTGATGACACAGAATCCTGGATTGATTACGTAGTTGCATATTAATTCATTACAACATTCTTGATTGTACTCACTTGTAACCCTTTACCTGTTGTCTAGAGAATATGGCGATCAAACCAATTCGTTGGCGACCCAAATAACTGTGCATTTAACAAACAAATACAGCGAGCCATCAAGGGGTTATTAATATAGAAGAGAAAAAAAATGTAAAGACAACGTGGTTATCAAAAAGAACTTAGTAACCAAGGCAACGAATTTGCGGCGTATACACGCATACAATTACTTGCCATGGGTGTTTTGGAATTAGTTCAGCTTTAAGATAGACTTATATCAGTGTATTTAGTATGAATTTTAATCAGTTTTATAAGGTGGGCGTTTGAACACGGTACGAAGCCATTATATACAGACCAACAATATATGTATAAATAACCATAAACGTCCATGCCCAGTGCATTTACACAGACGAACTCTCTTTGTGGGCATTACACATATAAATACATGATCACATATAATCCTATGAACTTGACCCAATTTCAATCGTACAATTGATATGATAAAGGTATTATAAAATACTGGTCACGACCGTGAGAGGAAGGGCATTCAGTAAGCATACGATAATATTATTTGAAAATATTGTTCACCTTATGCATATATCAGTCCTCCACATTCCCGAACCGAGGTTGTGGTTGCTTTAAGTTTGGCCAAGATCCACAGCTCGGAGTTCAAGTCTAATTGTTCCAATCCACAATTTAGGGTCCAAACCAACCTATAAGCGTATTAAATACAAGACTGTAAAACTGCCTAAATATAAAAATTATATTTCACAGTTTCAATTCGACTTCAGATGAACTATTTATTTATTTTGAGAACTAGTATTTGTTATATATATCTACATAATATTAGTCCATTCTCTGGAGAGCCTAAATTGAAACAAAATGATATATGCGTTGTGTTGACCTACCAAAGATGTTTGATAGCGTCTGACATGAAGGTATATAGCAAAAATCCCGAATTAACGGTAAACTATATATAACACTGTTAAAGTATTTACGGCAAATGCAAATTGAAAGTGAAAACACACGGTAAACTAGCATAATCTTTTGAATCTAATTTAGACGTTTCGTAATACTGGGATCTAAGTATAACACTTTTAACTTTTTATAAATGACACCATGTACATCTTTAATTAGGTTCATCAAACTTTATACATATCAATTATAGAACAAGTTCATCTCAGCTATTGTCGTTGTCTATGTGTTTCTCGAAACAACATTCTTATAATATGCATCTATGGGAAATTAGGCAGTAGATGTTTATATGTCTTCATTAAAATCAAATGTTACAATTGTAATTTCTAGCACAATACTGTTCTAAGTGAATCAGATCACTCAAACAGAATGATAAATAGAAAATGGTATGAAGATTATACAATCACACTAACAACAAATTAATCAAAATGAAATTAGTAACATACACAAGTAAAATACTAAATAAGAAACTTAAAAACCGTAACTAATTTATAAATGCCCAAAATAAACAGTTAAAAACAAGTAACTTTCATCTGTTTTTAAACCCTTTCTTCTGTCAATAAATATTATTATTATGTTTCACGCATGTAAAATTTCAAGGTTGGTTGTTCTTATTGCATGATATTATATTTCGGATGTATCTACATATATTGTATTGATGTGATCAATGTTCCGGGAGTTGATTTGTCAAAATTTAAATGATTCAGCTTTTGTAATTGGACTTTAAGTTGACACAAGTAGTAGTTAATTATTTCTTTGGGTGCCCATCAGACTTGCTTTCATGGTTACTTATTTCTACGTCATGTATTATGTTGTATATCCTGTTCACATGGTTGGTCGGGAGATTGTTTATCATGTGGAGTGATAATGTTGAAACACATTGTTTAATAACAGAGTGGTGTTCAGTATGGGCACTTAGTCGCCTAACGTCATCCTATAATAAGTGTGTATGATACATGGTTTGATTGTAAGATTGGTTAATTTAAAATGTATGTGCGATATTTTATTGAGATTGAGAGGATCCGGAAATGTGACACTTCAAATGACATTCCAAGAAACAGTTGTTAATAAACAGTGAAGTTCCAGTAGGTGATTGTAATCGCTCAGATACAATGTTATTTCATTTGAAGATATCATATACAAACGCATTTTGGTTTTAGAATATTAATTTGTATTTAACTGAGGGGTTTTGGTCATATTGTTGGTTTGCTTGAAATGTAAATAAGTTGTGTAAATAAGTTCAATCATTGACAGATGTAATGCATAATGTGATGGATAGCTGTGTAATAATTATAAATAATGACACGTTATTACTCACGACCAGAAGTTGGGAAATGTGCACTTGTCTCCTTACTCCCGACAGACCGCCCACCACGTTCATACGTTGTAACATGCAAATCTGGCCATTCTAATCTCGTGTAAGGAAATTATTGCATTTTTAAAAGATTAGCTTATTACGTGACTGTTACAGGGTTAAACAAAACTTACGTGTTCATGTAGACAATTGATTTCCTTTCGACTATTTACTGCAAGATGACATCATCGTAAGCCCATTTTGTTGAATGAGTGATCGAGCTATTAACCACGTCATTAAACAATCAATACACTTATGATAATAATTCAGGTTCAAATATTTTGCAAAAGCCGGAGTAGCAAACGTGACAAATGCACATAAAAAAATAAAAATAAATCTCTCAATACTCAACTATATACAGCCTTCATATGTAATAATGTGGATACCCTGTTGGTGGTTGGCAATGAATGGAGCTTCTGTACTGCATCCAATGGCGGTTTTGGGGGGGGGGGGGGAGAAGGAGATAAACGCACCCCATAATCATGGTACTTTCAGATTTTCGCGAAACGAGAGCGTTCGCTTCTCGTGGGGTCTTCATCCACATCACCGTACATGGTTATGAAAGTCAAGATGGATATTTACAAATTTGTAAACTAAGGTACAGCTTTCTCCCTTGCACTGTATGTTTAAATTTATAAATATATATTATCTCAACAGATGAATGCATCAACAGGCCCCTGAAAACGATTGCAGATACATTTTTATTTTACATCTAAGCAGTATTTGTTTTGACTTTTAATAATAAAAGCTCACTCAACGAGATTCAAACATTGTAACCATGGGCGATGAGTGGTAAAAAAACATATACAGGATACACTTAATGTCATTCGACGTTGTCGTCTATATTCAATTTAATGTTGACTAGACCTGTTCTGAAATTAATGGGAGAATAGTGGTTTTTCAAAATCAGTATATTTTGATATGTTGGTGCCCGCGTTTTATGAACATAACCATCTCAACACAATTCTGAACCAAACTAGTGTTAGACGGGTAGTAGAAGTACATCGACCTTGGATTAGAACCCATTAGTGTGTATATGGCCTCTATAGGCTTTCATGTATCATGTATCACAGTAAATGACATCTTGTTATATAGTTCCTTCCCATTTCCAAACCAGATAACATGTACATTAATTGAACGCATAATGTGCAAAACTAAATCGTTTATTAAAATACTCAAAGTTCAAATACACTTGTATCAGAAATAGCAGTAATTCCATCTAAACCATTCAGAGCCTAAAATGCAAAACCACAATTGCGCATAGATATCTGCTTCTAAAAATAAATGCAATCTAAAGTTGTAAAGAAATACACATTTTCACTGTTAGTGGTGTTATCTCGTATGTTATGGACGCAATACTATGGACAAATTCTACCCAATATATGTTCGACCTAACAAGGGGGTTTCGTGGGCATGCTCCCCGGAAAAAAATAAATCTTGACCTTCTGGAACGCTATTTCGTACATTTTGAGGGACAAATTGTGCTGACATACATCGCGTAACATAACACAAAGAATTTCAGCTTGATTGGGGGGG